CATTGTTTCATGTTACACGCATCTGATCCAAATTACTAGATTCAAATGTTCTTTCTGCAACACTTTTTAAAAATATGATTTCATAAATTAATAAAATTACTTGTGTCAAAATAACCTATACTGCACACCATTTGTCAGGCAGAATAATACTTCTACTTATTATACTTTTGGGGTGAGGGAAGGATATATGCATTCAGTGTTAAATGGTCCAAATTACACGGACTTCCCATTTGGGTGGCAAACTGGAAAACAAAGCGCGTTATCGCACGAACTGCTTCTCCGCTCTCCCAAAGCCGACGGTCTGCAGGCACCCGAAAAGCCGACCGCCTTCTTTATTCTCCTTCTGTGCTGATGCGAATGGCATTACGTTACATTTGTGTGTAGTGCACCCAACTTTGCATTGTTGGCTTCTCTCACGTGTTTACGAGTGGGAATTTCAGTTTTACAACATAAGAGTGCAACCCTCTTACTTTTTGGGCGTGGGAAATACAAGACAGAAAGAGATAATAATGAGAACAGGGATGTTTTACTGACTTCAAGGCAATTTGCAAAGAATATGAACAGAGCACGCGTTTCCCGCGTCTAAATAACTTACTTCATGAAGCAAAGAATCTCTTGAGAAGCTGATAGTCATTCAGTCAGGCAAATTTCCCTCGTTTTATTTTATTTATTTGCGTGTTCATTGAATCAGTGACGCTGGTGATATCTCAAAATATGTAGCGTAGAATGATAGAATGACTAATGAACAATGAATTGTAAAGGATGCGGAAGGAAACAGTGGTAGTGACCTAATTTGACATACGTATTATCCCGGCATTTTCCGTGAGGAACTGAAGAAAACAACGAAGAACTTCTAGGTTGTAAGTTTTGAGGTTTTCACGGCGATGACTATGAAGAAAGTCGTCTTCTGGGTTTAGGCGCCGTGTATTCTTCGTTTTGGCCGACGTTTCGGAGGAATGTATCGCCTCCATCTTCAGAGCAGTTGAATGGCTTGGAATTCAGAGAGCAGTAGCTACTGCTCTCTGCAACGGCCAAAACGAAGAATACACGGCGCCTAAACCCAGAAGACGACTTTCTTCAACTTCTAGGTTATTCGATGTCCCGGCATATCCCTAATTTATATCAGGCGTTTTCTCTTGAGGCAACTGACGTAGTGCCCGCAATCTGAGATCCGATATTTCGATCACTCCGATCCAATTACTGCTGATGCATACAATACGATCCGAACCGCCAACTTCTGACACCAAAATGTCACATGTAAGGGGTTACGCGTGACGAAAATAGCGAGTTCTAGACCGGATGATTTGATTTATTGGCACTTCGGTTACCAGTTCCCTTAATCGCACTTAAATGCAGCGCTATCGCTGATTTACACGCTTTCCAGTTAACCATTGCACATGCACTAGGATTCTCTGTCTTCGTTAGTCGTCTCCTAGCAACGGATCTCAACACAGAAACCAGCACTTCAAATCACTATGAAGTCTTCTTGCCATTTCTTGTTCAATCACCTTGGAACCTCGAAACTCAAGTAAAAGCTCCTCTCAGCTGCAAGCGGACTCGCGTTATATAGCCACGGCACGGATAACGCAGGAAACAACTTCTTCTGCAAACCACACAGAAAACACAAGTCACATGGTAGCTAAGCACTGTTGGGGTGTGACTTCATTGCGCATGCGCAAGCTACACGGACATAAACACTACTGCTGTATTTATGTGTGACGTTGCCGCCTACGCGGGAGTGTGTTTACAGAGCCGTTATTTGGAAACGGGTTGCATAACTCCGTTGTTCTATTGTTGCCTGCGTATATTACTTAACAACGGCTGTTTATATGGTTCAGCCGTTCTTTCATGGCGCAAATACTCCACAATATTATCCTTCCGTACCTGTCTATCTATCTTATCCGGTCTCGTGCCTTCTTCGACTATAACTTTATATGGATTTCCATCCGGCCCCAGCCGGCCTGTATAAAACTAAAACTCGTCTCACAATTCAAATCCATTCGACAATTGGACATCTAATTATCACACCCAGAAGAATGATAGTCCTGAGGGACCGAAAGAAAGACATGTCCAGGAGCTGGGCTTTGTAACTACTGCGAAGTGGGAAGGACAACGTGTAAGTACGAGATTTCCTCCAGAAATTGACTGCAGAGACAGAAGTGTACGGCGCAAGGTTCTTCCGCCCAACCCCACACATTATCTTGAAAATGTGGTGGTTAGTGCAGGAAGAGCTGGAACATTACGAAACTTCACCAGACACAGTAGCGACAGACGATGGCGAAGCTCAATCAGGAAGTTCTGGCTTTATCCCACACAGAGGAAAGGCGAATATTGGAGAACTAAAATTTTCTGAAGTACGCATACAGCAGGCAATCGTCATGGTTTCTACACGTTCTTCACTTACGGTACTGTTGACTGATATCTTTTCGTTAGAGCTTATCTCCTTCGGAGCGTCTTTATGGGTGACTTATAAGACGAAGTTTGGATTGCTAATTTGGGTTTATTGATCACTCCTTGTACAGTCACTCGTAATCAAAATAAATCTTCAGCCGAACCCTCCTTCCTTGACTATCAAAATCTCATTCAAATCTCATCTACGACTGGACCAAGGAGGGAAGAAATAACAGGAGGGTGGAGAAAATGGCGTCTCTTAACAAAATGTTATTAACATAGACTGAGAAGGTTGAATTGGGTAGGAATAGTGCCGCAAATGCGAGATGTGAGAAATGCAGCCAGAATATTGTCAGTGTGTGAGGGTGACTTATAAGGCGGGCTTTATATTGGACTATTGAATTTATTGCACCTTATACATTCACAACTCGGGACTACAGGCAACATAGCGCTATCGCTATTCTACACACTTTACAGTTCACCTTTACATGCGCACTAAGCAACCTCCGTAGTCTAGAGGTAACGTTCCCACCTCATGACTCGTAGTACGCGGGTTCAAATACCCGGCGGAGGTCGTCGAATTTTTAAGGGCGGAAAAATTCAGGGAACAAGTCCTCCGGGAGGGACTTTAAGCTG